CGGGTTTTCAAGTCTGAGCTGGCTTCCCTCCATCTTTTCTCTCTAGCAAACCGGAAAGAGTCCTGATTTCCCGTCGGGGTGGGGGGAGGTGGGCCAGAATCCCGATAATGATTTTTGAATGTGAGCCATGCATTTGACTTCATGTGATTCCCGCCCCCCACCCCGCCAATACATAGCGCATAGCATTTTTATCATCTTTAAGACGAAGTAGCTGGCAAAATATTTAAGCGATCGGAAAGAAATGTTTTTATTTGCCCGTGTGTGAATTGGGTTATCTGCCTATCTTGTTTATGAAATTTGGGGCTGCCTTTCCAGCAGCCTGTTCGCCTCTCAAATCTTTGCCGGCTCCCATTTCCATATTTCTGCGTGCATGTTCTTTGTTAATCACTTGGCAAGCGCTTATTTGAATATTAAAAATTTCTTTAATCATCAAAGGCAGGAGCACAGTCTCATGAATATTCATATTTTCCCCCTCCTCAGACTGGATTCTAGTTCATTACCCTGCAGTAAAAGCTAAACAGCCATCAATCGCCCTCATTACAGGCTCTGGTGTTTTGATTGGCTGCCTGCTGCCCAGAGCTTTTTTTTTTTCTTCTTATTTTTGTATTTTTTCCTCTTCTCCTATGAGCTGTCTTGTACCTGCCAACAGCCAAAAAAATAAAAAACGCCAACGAACAACGTAAGAATAAATTTCTCTGGTTGAAAACAACTTTGCAAACTTGTCAAACAGTCTTTGTGGCTTGCTGCCGCCGAGGCGGCCACCAGCACTACCTGTCACCGGCCCCCGTCCCCCACCTCAGAAAAAACCCAGGAAAAAGGGGGAGGGGGAGAAAAATAAAATAAATAAATAAAAAAGGAGAAACTTGAGCCTCAGAGATGAATATTTGTCAAGAGAGTTGACGTAAGTTTCATTTGCATAATGACTTTGTACTTCTGCATTAATAAAATTTGCATATGAAGCCATGTTAATTACTCCTGATCATGCTTTTTGCATTCATGCATAGTAATTTTCTCCGACTTGTGAGAATTAATGTCTTGGCATGGGGGGAGGGGGCGCGGGATTGTCAGGTTTCCTAGCCAGTGGCCCTCGCTCACGAGCGCTCGCTCCTTGTCTGACTCCCTCACTGATCTATGACTCATTTTCGCTCTATCAGTAGGAGTTCTCGGCTTAAAAAATGTATCAACTGAAAAAGCACCAGTAGGGAGAAAAATATACATCTCCTGCCCAGTGTATTCCCGAGCTCCTCTCGCTAGCTAGGAATCTGGAGCCCTCCTGTGTGGGAGGGGACGCCTGAGGATTCGGCTTCGGGAAGGGCTCACATTCCCCTCCTAACCAGGCTGGGGCTTTGCCAGGCCTTTTTTTGTGTGTCTGCACGCCGGGCGGTGTGGGCGTGTTCGCAGGGCAGTGCGCATGTGCGAGGGGCCAGCCTGGCAGGGGCCCGTCTACCAGGGAGACTGGGTAGGGACCCACAGAAAGGGTGCATTAATAATTACCTTCTAACCCTGATCTGGAGCGTCGGAAACATTTTAGGGGGCTTATTTTTTGAGCCTTTCTGTACCTCTTTGTACGGGATGTGTAGAGCAAGATTCTAACCCCCAGGAGCCCCATGGTCCTGGAACCTCAGTTTTCTCGTAGTATGTGTGTTGGTGTGTGTGGATCATGATACCTACCTCCTGGTCAAGCTGCTTGGCTTAAGTGAGATGATAATATATATATATTCATTGTTTCTTTTTTCCCTAATGAAAGTGAACTTCCGTGATAAGGAATTGGGCCAGCCAGGGTTTTATTTTTAAGCCACCTGGATCCCTCATAAAGCTGAGATGGCGTCTTGGCGTCCCTCTGCCACCTACCTCCGTGTTGTTCCAATTCTAGAGGGGAATCCACTTAGCCCTCAAAAGCCGTTTTAAAGGAGTGCCTTGCAGGGCTTGGTAGGGTGCCTTCCTGAGGCCAGAGCACCCCACAGACATTCACTGTCAGGCTGTGGGGAGGACCACGGGGAGCAGCGGAAGTTCCAGAGTGGAAAATAAATGAGTGATACTGACTGTACATTGAGTGTGTTGTCCTGACCTTCCTTTAAAGGCAAGGCTCTAAGAAAGTGACTCATTCCGTGTGACATGGCCCGGAAATGGCAGAGGAGGATTCGGACCCAGGCCTCTTGCTCCAAGGCTTCCTCTGAGTGTTATCACCAGGTCTCAAGTGCTCTCAGGTGTGTTCTGGATTCCTGTTTGCGCTTTGGAAGGCAGACACCCCTGTCCTGAGGACAGGAGATGGCTGGGAGGTGGTCTGGGGCATGGGTGCTGAGGCCAGAGACAGTCTTCACCCTGGGCTTTTTTTTTTTTGAGATAAGACTCATAACATAAAGTGAACGATTTTAACCACTTTTTAAAGGTATACAGATAGTGGTTTCAGCATATTCCTAATGCTGTGCATCATCACCACTATGCAATGCTGGAAGACTTCCTGACCCCGTAGCTGCATGCCCTCAGCCCCCCGCGTCCAGCCGCTGGCCACCATGCAGCCGCACTGTCTCTGTGGATTCGCCCCTTTGGGACATCTGCTGCAGTCATGCAGAAGGTGGCTGCTTTCCCCTCCTTTGGCTTTTGCTGTAGCTCAGAGTTGGATTTCTGCAGTGCCACCTTTGGGCAAAGCTCCAGGTTTCAGCCGCTTCGCAGGATGGGGGGCCCTTCCCCAGGGCAGCATGTCTTCCAAGAGCACCCAGAGAGTCTTCTGCAGACAGCTTAGGATTGGAAGCCCCTCACCCTTGCAGGCCCCTCCCTTGCCTCCCCTGAACCATCCCCTGGAGCAAGGGTGGGTGGAATTCCTAAGGAGGTGTGTGCAAGTTCCCAGGGGACAGCCTGGCCCTGCACCCCCACCCGACCGGGGGATGATTTTGCCTTTACAGACTCTGGCCTATGCCCGACCTTTCCAGAAGGATAGGGGTGTGGTTGGACCTGCCTCCCAACCGGGAGACTCAGGTTTCCTTTGGGACAGCAGTCACTAGGCCCTGGTGCCCCTGTTGGTCAGTGGGATGGCTGTGTCGTGGCCTCGCCCAGAACCTGGGAACCCAGGGTTGTTTCTTTTCAGCTTCCCATGGCCTGACTGAGCCTGACGCTCAGGCTCCGCCGCTCCACCACCCCGGCCATGGCCCTTCCTCTCAGCATCCCCAGCGCAGGGCTTCCCAAGGGGGAAGCAGGGCCTATCCAGGCTTTGCAGACACAACTGGGTTCAAGTGCCAGACCTCCCTGAGCCTCAGGCTCCCCCCTGTGGAATGGGGATGGTCTTCCCTGATAACCTGTGCCTGGCTTGTTGTGATGAGCGCTTAGTACAAGGCTGCCATAGGGTTCCAGGAGATCCAGAGCCTTTGGGGGTCAGCAGGTAGGGCTGATGTACTGGACAGAGCCAGACCTGCATTGTTCAGTGCTGGGGGCTTGCAGGCAAGGACAGACCAAGGCAGACTTCTGGGGAGACGCAGGTGACACTGGCCTTGGTGCCAGCCTTCTCTGGGGGTCTGCACTACATCTGGGGCGTTGCCTTTTGCTCAGCATCTGTGGCTGGAGCAGCTTGCGGAGTCCTTTACCATATCCCTCCGGGGCTGTTATGGGCTCAGAAATGCTCTGGTCTTGAGCCTAGCCTAGCGAGGGGGGCGGGGGAAGGTCTTCATTTGCCCAGGGGGACCCAAGTGGTGTTAGTGTCAGCTTTGGCCTCTTGGCTGGACATTTGTAGGTCCTCTTCAATGCCCTGATGCCCCTGATCTAGGGTAGCACACCCCTGCGAGAGGCAAGGGGCCAGAGAGAAAGAGCTCTGGGTCTGGAGCCAGGCAACCAGGGGTTTTGGTGGGACCGGCAGCCGCTGTCTGCGGTTTTCTGTGCTCATTGTCCTCAGTCTCCGGGTCTGTGCAGTGGGTCTCCTAAGCCCTGTCCCCATGGATATATTGGGAAACTCACATGAGCTGAAGACTGACAGACTGCAGGGCCCCATGGCTCTTCTGGGTGGGGGAGTGCCACGTGAGGTCCATGGGTGGGCAGGTCTGCGCCCTGTGTGGGGCACTGAACGGCGTGGGGCGGCCCCCTGGGCAGAGCTGGCTGGGCTCGGCGGCCCCTCATTTTGTTGATGTTGCTTTTTGTCTCTCTGATGCCTCCCCGCTTGATTCTTTACCCAGGGAATTCAGGCTTCTTGACTTGTGGTTTTGGCAAGGACTTCACACGAATTTTTGCCCTGGTGGTCTCTTAGCCATTTAAGATAAACGGCCAAATCAACTGCAGGCCGTGCTGGGGAGCCAGGGGGCTGGGCTGAGGCCAGCCCTGCGCTGTGGCTGTCAGACTTGGGGAGGAGGTGTACAGAATGGGGCCGAGGCGGTAAGAGGGGTGCTGGGCAGTGCCGGGGTTTTATCGGGGGTGGTGGTGTTTGAAGCCTTCCGGAAGGCCTTGGGGCCTGGGTGCTGTGTGCTTGGGCTCAGGCTGGTGGGGAGGATGGGGGGCGGAGAGTGACACCAGCTGGCTGTCTGCTGGGCCAGCGGTTAACCTGTGCCCAGTGCTCCGCGGTGGCCTGCAGGTGTCTGTGCAAACAGCCTATTCCGATGGAACAAACAGTGGTGGCTTGGAGCTTCCCGGCTCTTACAGAGGGGGGTGGCCCAGATTTTTGGGAACAAATCTCCAAATGGAGCCTGCTCCAGAATGCTCCAGAATCCCCTATGTGGGGGGAGTGGAGTCCTGGCAGCACCTGTGGGTCCCAGTCCCCTGCATTAGGCCCCCCAGGGATGGGAGTCTGGTCCCAAGACAGCCCAACCTGGCAGCTGTGGAAGGAGGACCCCCTCAGGCCCCTGCCCACTTCCTTAACCCCTGCCCCTTCCTGTGCCCGGTTGCCTTCCCTGCAGGGCCTGGCATCCCAGGGCCTCCCACTCTGTATGGGTGGCCTGCAGCCCTGGGCCCCTGTTCTACCCCACCCCCCTTGTATAGTCCAGGGCCCCACTGACCAGTCTTTTCTATTGTTTTTTCTCCAGGGCCGTGCAGGCCTGCCCAGCTGCCAGCGATGGCCCCCATAGCTGCCTCCTCCTCCCACCCTCCCACATCCGTGATCACTTCACCTCTGCGCGCCCTGGGCGCTCTGCCGCCCTGCTTCCCCCTGCCGTGCTGCAGCGCGCGCCCTGTCTCGGGTGACGGGACTCAGGGTGAGGGTCAGACGGAGGCTCCCTTTGGATGCCAGTGTCAGTTGTCAGGTAACAGACGGCCGCGGTGGGGGGTGGGCTCCCGGGGGTGGCGGGCTGTGCCCTGGGAAGAGCTGGCAGCTGCAGCTGCCTCTCCCACGTGGGCTGGGGCAAGGTGGGCACCCAGGGAGGCTATGCAACCCCCACCCCAAAAGGCATTTTTGGGGGGACACCAGAGAAGTGGTGAAGGATGTCAACAGAATCGCCCACCAGTGCCAGGGTCCCCATCAGTCAGGAGGACCCCCCCCCACGCCTCTGCCCATTCTGAGTCTCAGTCCCAGAATGCATTTCCCCAGCCTCCAAATTTCATCTCTGGGCTGTTTAGCTAAAGCTTAATTGGATAACGCTTAACATCTGAGGTTGTCTTCAGCCCTCACCACTGCCCCCCTCTGCCCCTACCCCAGCCACTGCCCCCACCCGCAAGACACGGCTAGGAGAAGATTCCTTCGTTGTCTGTGTGCCTCGCCGGAGCCATCCAAACTGCTCAGTTTCTCTTTATGAGAATGTGTTGCCCATTAAGTTTTGGGGGGGAAAAAAAGTTACTCTAAAGGAGTTTTTTAGCTGTGGCCACAGAAGGGAGTGAAGCCTTGTGGGGTGTGTGTGTGGGGCAGGGCAGGCGGTGGGGCCATGCACACACCTGAGGGTCTGAGCACCTATTGTGCATCCCCCTCTGTCCCCAGACAAAACCCGAATTTCTGCTCTGGCCTGGGGTCTCTAGAATTTTTGGTTGGAGGCCTCTCATCCTGGCCTCTCCTGCCCAGCATCCAGCAGGACCTGGTGCAAAATGCGCTGGGACGCTGACACAGACAGACAAAGCCGGTGGTGAGCACCCCACGGTCTGGTTTCCAGGAAGGGGCCCAAAATGGAGAGGGTGGGTGCGGAGCTGGGGCAGATGCAGTTTGTCTGGGATTTGTCACCAGGCATGTTGCAGGCTTTCTCCTGACTTGGGTGGTGAAGGTAAAACTATTTTCGTTGGTCAGGTTTTGCTTTTAACTGAAGCTGTCCCAGGGGATGGCCCACAGGCAGCCCCAGCTCCTGGTCAAGAACTTCCTAGGCTTCCTGCTGGTGGGGTGGCCTGCAGCCTTCAGAACCCCCTGCTGTGGCAGAGGGTGACATCCTAGGTCCTGGGCTTATGCCTTGAATGCACAAAGCAAAGGCTAAAATCATCCAGGAAGGAGTCTGCTCACAAAGAAACAGACTCCCTGCCCTGGGCACCCCCATTGCCCAGGGTGACTGGGACACCTGTCCAGTCTTTGTAGGTGTGTGCTGTGATCCTTCCTTGCTGAGCGAGGGATGCCGCCCCGTCCAGGGTCTGTCCTGCTCTCATGGTTTCCTGTACTTAGTGCTGCAGCCCCTGCAGCCACTCGGGGGGCGTGCTATCAAAGATCAACCTGAGTGTTTTATGACTGGACTTGGTCAAGTTCTGTGGTGCAGAAACATGACCTCCCTGGCAGAGGTGCACCTGGGGCTTGGCTTGACCCTCTACTGGCTCTAGCTCTGCTTAGAAACTACTGTGCCGAGTGGGAGCTGTCACATTCCTGTTTTGCAGATGGGGAAGCAAAGGCTCACATTCATTCATTCACTTTCATTCATTCATTCTTCTACTAAAAGCCATTTCTTGGGCACCTAGTTTGTAGGCACTGTGCAAAGGAAGGTGGAGTCAGGCACAGCAGGTCCCTGCCCTCCTGCAGCTTGCAGGGGTTGAGGTGGGGAGTGGGAATGGGGTCCTGCAGGGAAGAGGGTGGAAGAGCAGAGGTGAGATTTGACCCTGGCTGGTCTTCCAGAGGTTTTGATGTTGCTCTTTGATGTCGCTCATCTGGCTTAAAGGCCTTCATGGATTTTAGAACTTGATGCTGTGAAGGCTCAGCGCTTGTGAGCAGCTCCCAAATGGATGGCGGTGCCTGGGGAGGGGCATGAAGTGGGATGATATCTGTTCCTGGGATCCCTGGGCCCATTCCTTCTTCTCGGGGGCTTGCTCTCTGCCCTGATTCCCAGAACTGTTTTCTCTCAGCATTGGGTCCCCATTAATCAGGCTGAGCCAGGTTGCGCCACTGCACACTGTCTGATCAGTCTTGATACCTGAAAATATCTTATTCCGGTGGTTTTTGTTCCTTTATGGCTTCTGTCCCCAGCACTGGGCTGTTTGCTTCAGTGTTTTTAGTGCCTGTTTAATGAGTAGTCGGGATGGAGTCATTAACTTCCCAGGACCCCGTTAGGAAGAAACAGGCCTCTGTAGAGCTGGAAAGGGGCCGCTGTCCTTACTTTGTTGTGTCCGTTTCAGATCAGGATGCACTGAACTTATTTCTTCAAATTCATACAGAAAACCCCAGTGACTATGTTTCCCACAGGTTAATTGCCTTCCTGTGAAAGCACTTATAGTTATTTATAGAAGGATGAGATTTTACTGGGGAGAAACCACACAGGTATGTATGTTTGTGTACCTCTCGGGCTGGCAGCATTCCACACAGCCCCACGTCCCAGGACCCCAAGCCCAGACCTCCTTCTGATGGTCATGGTGGGGAGAAGGGGCTTGGAGTCCCCAGTGCTTTTTGACTCTGCCAACATGATGGGGCCCTTTGAGTCCAGGTGTTCCTGGGAACTGAAGTTTCTTCCTTGAGAAATTCCATGCAGGAACTTCTCCAAGATGCCTATGGACTCAAGAGGCTTGAGCTGTGGTCCTGGCCCTAATGCTACCTGGCAGGTGACCTCAAAAAGGTCATTGCCCCTCTCTGGGCCTCAGTTTCCCTGTCTATAAAAAAATACATATACACATACACATATATATACATATGCACACATACATATATATAATATATAGATAACATTTAAAAGCAAGGTTTCTCATTGAGCTCTGAAACAGATTATATTGATCTGTTTTGACTACTGAGCTGCTGTGGATGACTGGGCCTGGGGTTTGGCTTGGGTTCCTAACCAGGGCAGGGGGCAGGGGGTAGGGAGTGTCCAGAGAGCACCGTGAAAACCACTGGGCTTTGGTTTCTCTGAACCCTTCCGTTCTGAGGTTTGGACGATTGGGAGGTGGTCATCAGAGTGTATCAGACTGTGGGAGTGTAAGGCTGCTCTGTCCTATGCAGCTGTGTGACCTTGGACAAGCCATTTACCTCTGCTTCCTCAGTTTCCCCACCTGAAACCTGGAGGTAATACTGGTACATGCTTTGAAGGATTGTTTTGAGCACTGAATTAGGTCATATATGTCAGGTGCTGAAAACAATGCTCATGCTGAGTGAGCCCTGTAGAAGGTATGACTCATGCATGAGCAGAATGGGCTTTACAACCTGCCATCGTTACGTGTTGAATCTTACTTCTAGCTGTATCTCCAACTTCCATGCTTAAAGGCATTTAGCCTCTTGGCTGGCTCAGATCATGTACCAGCATTGGGAGGTGGAAAAGAAATTGAAAAACTTCACTACATATTTAAAAACCACAAGTGGTCACCAGCCACAGGGACTAATACATGCACTTGGTTCAAGGTCTCACACGAAAACACACAGGATCCCGGCTCAGAGTAGTGGAAGTGTTTGGATTTAATAGAAGGAGTCAGTTGCAGTCATTAGTAGATGCTGAAATCACAGGGCAATCTTGTAAAGTTAAATTCAATTTACTTTTCTACTGAAATTGTGCTTGCTGTGTTATTTAACTAGTCTGGGGTTTCTTGGCATGGGTTAAAGGGACAATAAAGATAAAAGAATACCTGTAAGTAAATAGTAGGGTTTAACAGGAGAATCTATTGTTTTCTCCTCCTTCAATTATATCCCAGTGTTCATTTTGTGTTGGTTTTTATAAGCAGAGCCGTCCAATGGGACGCCATGGATTAGACCACCCTAGCTGTGGAAGCTTGATGCAATTAATACAGTCTGTCTGGAAAGAGGCCTTATTTCTGGAAGTTTTATGTTAATGATATGGTCTGCGCTTTGCACATTTCATACCAGAACAAGAAGCAAGCTGTAGTTTCATTCTGGACTGGGTTTGATTAACACGGGAGGATCCGTGGGAAGCCAAAGGGCCATGCGGACCGAGATGGCAGCGCTCGCCAGGCCCCTGCTGGCGCACCACCTCCATCCTGGTGCAGGGGGTGCATAGACACCCCAGTAGGGCCTGAGAGCCTCCACCAAGTCTCTGGAGGGAGGGGTGAGTATGGGGGTGAGGAGGAAGAGAAGTGAGTGTGGGTGAGCATGTGTGGACAGAAGCACTCTGTCAGGGGAAGGTTCTAGACACACTCTTGGGTTTCTCTTTGCAAAATTCTGTCGGTTGTAGCGTCTTTCTGGGCTAACCGGGTCCCAGGGTCAATGGGGGTTGGCCCACTGGGGAAAAGGGCTCTCAGGGGAGTCATTAAAAATGTAAAAGGTCATCTGTATGTCTTATGATGTCTACATTGCCGAAGGGGCTGGTGGTCCAGCACTGGCAACCCCTGGGTAGTTCTTCCTCCATGCCTGCTCCGTGGGGTCTACTCTGGAGGCCGCCTGCTCCTTGGGAGCGTGCTGCGGAGGCCGCCTGGGCCGCCTGCCTGTGGCACCCAGACCACTCCTTCTGTAACTGGAGGAAGTGCTGGAGGAAGCTGTGGAGAGCTGCAGGGCCCCGGGGAAGGGGGAGGCGGACTGCGGGGCTGCTGGAGGCGGCCAAAGGCGCAGGGCTTGGGCGGACTCCAGGAAAGTGCCCTGCCTGCCGGAGCCAGAAAGTCACATCTCCTCCAGCAGCAAGGGCGGCAGAAAGAGCCGCGGATGGGGTCCGACGGCGTGAGGCGCTGCCCGGGCTGGGGCGGGGCCACCTACCAGCGTGACTGCCTGCCTTAGATAAAAGAGGTCCCGGCAACTCCCGGAGCGGAGACCGCTGCAGCCACGCCAGATTCCATTTCACTCTCGGAGCCGGCCCTTCAGACGTTCTGAAGGCTGAGCTAAATCAAAGAATTCTGTTCAAATCCGTACAAGATGTTGCTGTTTTTCTGCTCTGACAGGAGAGGCATTTGGAAGTGCAGTTTCTTTCTTTCTTTCTTTCCT